ATAGACGTAAATACTTATTGCGTGACTAATTTGCCACGTTAGTTTCAAAAATGATGTTTTCTTGTAGTGTACATTGTCGGTAAATTGAAGAGGAAATATTCCCTAGAGTTTCTAACGGTTAGTGTCGACGTTATTATTTGATGCATTGTAGACCATTCCCCAACAAAAAAGAATTTTTTTATAATAACTTGGTGATGACGTTATAAAAACAAATTCAACTAAACTGAAAACTATTTTATCATATCGTAATTTCCCACGCGCAGTTATGTTGAAAACCTTTGTAGATAAAGTCAACTAAGCATAAAACTATAAAAGTAAAACTATGAGTCTGCTATTATAACAAAAAGAAACGTCGACAAAAGAAAACAAAAAGAAATTTCAGTCAATTTAAGAGCCAATAAAATATAAGAAGGTCCCCAATGGAAAAATCTTAAATGGAAAAATCTAAATATTCGTAGTTTTGACACCTCATGTATTTGATGGTACAATAATTAATTAGTTCGAGAAATGCATGGTGATACAAATGCATCAGTTGATCAACGTGCAACCAAAAAATAAAAAAAACTAACGTCCAACCAATAATCGGATGACTCAAATTAATATAATAAATTTATGGGACCTCTAATAATTCAATCAATTCTAGATATTTTGCTTCCCAAAATGAGAAAATACGAAAAAATAGATTAACATTTATACAGTCGTCATATGAAAGAATCAAATATATACTTTTGACGAAAATCAAATATATACTTTTCCATTTCAAAAAGACATGTTTTATAATGTTTTCACATATTCAAATTACAAAAACATATAAAACTTTGATTGTAAGTACATTACTTCCACAATTTTTATTCAATCAATATTCAATAAACACATAATTTCTGTTAAAAATTTACCATTTATTATTATCTAATAAAAATATAAAAGCATTTCGAAACGTAGAAAATATACTGTTTTATAATACAAATTCATTGACGTATTTTCTTTAATTTAATCGCAATAGTCAAATATCTTTTTGGGTTAAATTCAATAGCAATAATTGATTCAAACAACTATCAAAAGTAGAAACTAGAAAATTATATATTTGGCTCTATCCTATCTTTATTGGATTCATTGATGACAAAAAAAAAAGACTTATTTTCTTTAATTATACCGCAATAGTCAATTGTCGTTTTTGGCTAATTTCAATAGTCAATAGTTGATTCAAACAACTATTAACAGTAGAAACTAGAAATGTTATATATTTAGCTAACTTTTTGTAATTTCTATCAACTGAAAACCACAGAAATGGAAATTGTCTCAGAAAACCTGCTCTTGCCTTGCTTTATCCTATCATGTTTCTTTATTTTTACCACGGTACGATTCCTACGTAGCTCTCCACGGTCTGCCACGCTGCCTCCTGGACCTCCATGTTTACCGATCATAGGTAACATTCACCAAGTCGGTAAACTCCCACACCGTTCATTCGCGAACCTCTCGAAAACATACGGACCAATCATGCGTCTAAAGTTTGGACGTTTAAACACAGTGATTGTAAGTACACCAGAAGCTGCAAGAGAGGTTTTAAGAACACACGATCAAGCCTTGTCTAGCCGTAACTCTCCTAACTCAATACTGTCCATCAATCACCACAACGTTTCCGTTGCCTGGACTGATCCGTCGTCACCCCGTTGGAGGTATAATTTACTATCGATTCTTTTCTATGGATTTTTGATTATTTCTCTCGTGTTTAGCTACTAAACATTGGATTGTTTCGATCAGATTCATATAGTTTTATTTGTCGTAGGCCTTTCTAGTAGTAGTTAGACTATTTTATTTACATTTTAAGAAAATACACAATAGTTATAAGTTTACATGATAAACGCGAACGTAAGACCAAATAATTTTAGTTGTAGTATTTGCGTTTGTCTTTGCAAGGTAAAGTACTTTCTTCATATTTTCTACAAAATAATAATAATCATAACTCAAATTCAACCTTTCATATATAAATTCTGGATTGTAGTCTATATTATAACAGAAAACCGAAGTTTTAGTTAGCAAAGGTTCTTCATTTTTCTGTCTATAACAAATTATCTTTTGCTTTTTTAGTGATTACTTTTACAATCTTCGAATGTGTTCATACCAAAATGATCTTGTAAGCTTACACAAGCATTAAAAGCAAGCGTAACAACCGCGTAAGACAGTAATCAATTGTTGTTATGTTTTATTTCAGACTGTTGAGAAGACTTTCGGTGACTCAGCTATTTTCACCGCAGCGCGTTGAAGCCACGAAAGCTCTGCGTATGAAGAAGGTGCAAGAACTTGTGAGCTTCGTGAATGAGTGTAGTGAGAGAGAAGAGGCTGTTGATATTTCTCGTGCATCTTTCACCACGGTTCTTAATATCATATCGAACATTTTGTTTTCGGTTGATCTCGGTAGCTACGGCTCGGAAAAATCCGCTGGGTTTCATGACTCAGTTCTTGGAGGCATGGAAGCTGCTGGGAGGCCAGACCTAGCTAACTTCTTCCCGTTTCTTGCGTTTCTTGATCTGCAAGGTAATAGCAAAAAGATGAAGTTATGTACAGAGAGGTTGTTTAAGGTTTTCCGAGGGTTCATTGACACTAAAACTGCGGAAAAATCATTGCCGAATAATCCAAAAGATGCTTCCAACAGCGATTTTTTGGATGCGATTCTTGATGAAGCAGAACTCGACAATAATGATATTGAACACCTTCTTTTAGTAAGTCCTACCACTTCTCCACATAACCATGGCTTTTAGTTCTGAGATACAAAAAACTCATTAATATTAGTATTTCAGTAAATCATAGATGGATATGTCGAAAGAATGATGATTTGATTAAATAAAGACATTTTTAGATGTATGTTTTGAGATAGAATCACATAACTATTTTTTTTTTTATGTCAGGACATGTTTATAGCAGGCACGGACACAACCTCTAGTACCCTAGAATGGGCAATGGCTGAGTTACTTAGTAACCCTGAAACGATGGCTAAAGCTCAGGCCGAGATTGAATGTATGATATGCCAAAATGGGCTGGTTCAAGAGCCTGATATCTCAGAACTGCCATATCTACAAGCGGTTGTGAAAGAAACTTTCCGTTTGCACCCAACTGTCCCTCTTCTTCTCCCAAGAAAAGCTGAGACCGATGTACAGATTTTTGGATACCTTGTGCCTAAAGATGCTCAAGTTTTGGTAAACGTGTGGGCCATAGGACGAGACCCGAATGTGTGGGAGAACCCGAGCCGTTTCGAGCCAGAAAGGTTTTTGGGCGAAGATATTGATGTGAAAGGTAAAGATTATGAGTTAATACCATTTGGGGCGGGACGAAGAATTTGTCCAGGATTACCTTTGGCTGTGAAGATGGTATCTCTTATGCTTGTTTCTCTTCTTTATGCCTTTGACTGGAAGTTTCCAAACATGGTCGACATGGATGAAACCTTTGGTATTACTTTGCACAAGGCCAAACCGCTACATGCGGTTCCCGTTAAAAAAAAATCGCCACTACTTAAACATTTGTAAGACTTATAGTCAACCTCTATATTTTCCTCAAAAGTACTAAATAAACTCTAAAAATAAAAGTGGATTTCATTGTAATGTATCCTTAATTGTTTGAGTAAAAACTTGGGTTTTAGCAAAGCAACTGTTTACACACTCTACATGTTTGTATTAATATGTAGATCGTTGTCAAATTCTCACTCTATTTCATTCTAAGTGATGCTTAAAACAAATAAATGCACACAAATAAAATATGCACATAATTTAATACAATTTATTTTATTTACATAAAATGTCACTAAACATAATAAATTTAACCAATAAAAAAGATGATGTATGTAATTGGTCACATATGTTAAACATCATTAAATTTTATTTAGAATAGTCATTATTTTACAAAAAAAAAAAAATTCTTTAAAGAAAAATTGCATTCTATGGTGAAAAAAATTGTAACTCACTAAATAACTACTTGAGCTACATGATCTATACACGGCGTAACTTTTATATAATAAATTTATTTTGCTCCTCTATGTAACCGGGGAAATCTACAGCAAAAAGAAAGAACACTTCCTAATATTTAATTATCTATCAAAAACAACTTGTGGCTCAACGATATTCACATTCCCTCTTTTTAACTTTCATACTAGACTTTCACCCGCGCGCGCGACTGCGCGGATATATTATTATTTTGTAAAACTACAAATTTAATTAAGATATATATATATATATATATTATATATTATTTTTTGGATAAAAAATTTATAACTGAAATTTCAAATGAAATTGTATTTTACCATATATTTAGATGAAGTTACTATTTTAAGATATTTGAAATATATTAAGTAATCTATTTAATAGGATCATTTTTAAAAAATAATTTATTATGTAACACAAAAAAATAAATAGTTCAGTTTCACATAACTATTAACTAATTAAAAAATTGGGCCATCTACAATAATTTCTTAAAATCCATAATGATTGACATCTACTCTATTAATATATTTATTTTTTGGTATTTTAGGTTAGTTGTTATTATTGTCGGTGAAATATGTTTATTTAAAAAATCTAAATAGATATATATTATTGTTGAATTGTTTATTATATATATATATATATATATATATATATATATATATATATATGTGTGTGTCTTACTTATAATTAGACTAATTATAGTATGTACGTATAATAGTATAGTTGTATGTAATTTTCTAATACACATGACATATATACTATATCATGGTAAGATTATTTTTAATTAGACAACATATAATATTCATGTATAATAGTTTAATAAGATATATTTTTCTAATACACAAAATTATAGTTAAGAAATATATTAAATAAATATTATATATATGTATTGTATCTACTCTATAAAATATCATGCTATGTGAAGGCAATATATGTTACGTACAAATATAAATCAATACAAATATAAAATAACCAGCAAAAGTAGATGCTATTTTTAAGGGATAAATAAAATAAGGTTATATTGTTATACTTGATATTTATATTTGTTAGGATTGTAGATAAATGGTCCTAGTTAATAGACTACTCATAGGTAGATAAAAAAAGACTCTATTTTAATAGAGTAGATGGAATAACTGTGAAATACTTTTGTCCATATATTCCATCGCCTACGTTATCTATTTTTCCAAACAGCGATATCATCTCCTAGCACACACGATTATTGTTGTAATATACTATTTGTTTTTTTTTCTATTTCACGACATAGAATAAAAATAATATACATCACCTATACAAATGTAACCTTCACGCAAATTTGTATTATTCTATTTATAATAATTATATTTTACATTTCACAGTAGCTTATTAGAATGTATGATCTATATTATATAGTGTAATATTACATAGTTAACTATTAGTAATATTATGTACTATTTTAAAAAATTTCTATTTAGATTTAGGATTTAATGTTTATTATATTTGAGTTTAGGGTTTACATTTATATTTAGAGTTTAGTGTTTAATTTTTATTGTTTTATTTAATATGTTCCTATATTATTAAGTAGGATTATGATGGTGTTGTCCTATATTATTTTGGTATATGGAATAGAAAATACCATTAAATTGATATCCTTTATTATATTAGTTATATGGAATAGAAAACTTTGTTATTTTTTATTTATTTATTCTAGCATTTTTGGATTTGCTACCTGTAATAAATGGAATACACTTTTAAATTTTAAAAACATTCTATTTTTATTGTATTTTATTTCATATAGTGAATACATATGTGATAAATAAATATAGGGCTTATTTACCAACTACCTATATTTCACCAACAAATTAAGAATATAGCATAGATTTTGACGTTATTAGATCCCATAGCATTTGTGCTATATTTTCCCGGTGTGGTCTTTTTTTTTTAAACCGGTTGCCAGTAATAGCAAAAAAAATTATAATCAATACTTGCGATGAATATTGTGACGGTAGTTATTATTGGAACAATGATATTAGTTATCTCACCGACGGTGATTATGAAGATGGTGACTATGGAAAGAATAATTATGGATGAAACCGAGGTCGTCAATAAAAAATAACAATCATCTTTCAAACAAAGATTACTACAACTATGATATTGGTTATGCTTTGACTGAAATGATCGGAGAAAAAAAATAAGGTTATTGAAGAAGATAAACAGTGTAAATAGAATAGTACATTCTAAATTGTATAGTTCATATTAATAAAATTATAAAATCATTTAATAATATGAGAGATGATATTTACTCCAATATCAACCCAAATCTTCCATAAACTAAATCTAAAATATTAATCACTAAACCATAAAAAAAATATAAATCTTAATCCGAATATCAAATTTGCACGTAGTACACAATATAAAACATTATCAAAATAGAATATTAATAAACGAAATAGCATAGTACATATTAATGTTCAAATTTGAAATGTATATAATTGCAAGGAATGAAGTGTTGCTTACCCCAAAGTCAATTCAAACCTTCTATCAACTAATCTCAAAACACTAGTCACTAAACCCTAAAAATAAATATAAACTCAAAACTTTAATTACTAAACCCTAAAAAGAAATATAAACCCAAAACACTAATCACTAAACCTTAAAAATAAGTATAAACCCAAAACACTAATTACTAAACCCTAAAAAGAAATATAAACCCAAAACGCTAATCATTAAACCCTAAAAGCAAATATAAACCCTAGCCCAAATATCAATATGTACATAGTACATAATATAAAGCATTATCAAAATAGAATAGTAATAAACGAAATATTATAGTACATAGTAATGTTCAAATTTTGAAATGTAGACGATTGCAGAGAAAGAAAAAATGTTACCCCAAAATCAATCCAAATCTTTCATAAACTAAACCCAAAACACTGATCTCTAACAACAACTATAAACCCTAACCAAATATCAAAATATGCACACAGTACATAATAGGAATCATTATTACAGAAGTAACAAACAAAATAGTATAGTATACATTATTCAAATAAAATAGTACAACTGAGACTTTACATGACAACAAAGACGTCTCAACCGTAACGCCGTCGTGGTTTGTAGATTTCAGAAGCTGAGATTATAGATATAGAAGTGGTTATAGTGGCTATGAAATTGGTGTTGATCGTATTGTAATAGTGATGGAAGCAAAGTGGTGGAGATCAGAGAAAAAATGGTGGTAGTTGGTAAAAGCAGAAGAAGATATTTTTTTTTCTTTCGTTAACCGAAGAATAGGGGTAATATAGTATATATTATAAAAATAATGGAGGTTCTTTTTTTGTTAGATACTTAATTATTGTTTATTTTGTAGTTATACAGTCTAATTTAAATATATGACATCTGCTTTGTAACATTATGTGCTTGTAAATATTAGTGGTTCATTATTCACCATAGAAAATAAAAGTTGATGTCATCTACTCTCTCGCTTTATAAGGCCACTTGCAATGGTAACATCTTAAATAAAGAGGCAAAAAGGATAAATGTCAAAAAAGCATTGACATTTATCTAATTTATGTTCAATATATGGTTGGTTGGCAGATAAATCATTTTTCAAATATCAAATAAACTGAAATAGAGGAGTATGTTGTTACCGATTATAGGCTTTTATTTGAAAAATGATTCGAAGTCAAGAAACTATAGGTTTATGACTGAAAAACAATCCGAGGTCAGGAAACTGTAAGTCTATAACGGCGTTGCCAATTTAGGTCTTACATAAGCTTACCAACTATTATATTTTTACGTCCCAAACAAAGAAGATCATGTTCTAAACCAGTGGTAAACCCAAGAAATTATTTTTGAGGGGTCAAAATATAATAAAAAGGACATGTGGGTTTAATGCTGTGAAACTTAACCAAATATGCCACTTACATTTATTAAACACAGCTAACAAATTTTATTTTAATCATTTTTGTGGTGTCAATGTCAAGTGACACCTATAACTTACATATGGGTCTGCTCCTGTTCTAAACTAAAAGATCTACAACTACTGACATTTACATTACACTAAACATTTACGTCGACATCTAATTAATATTATCAGATATGCTTTGGGAGTCATTTTTTGTTCTCAACCATCAACGATTCTCATAGGAAGAAGAGATTCACCTTGTTTCCTCGGATGTCGGGGTCTTCCCATGTCGTCTTCGGAGTAGCTGACTTCCGACGAACTTCTCTAGACTTGTAATCTTGACCACTTTGAAGCACAAGCAAAATAGATGGAAGTTTCCAAGACTTCTTATAAGAAAATAATCTCGAAACCGATTGTTTCTTTCGCCGAGTTGCAAGAACACGGGTTTGAGGACGCAACTGCACCATTGATCAAGATAGCTCATAACCTGCACAAGGGAAAAAGGGGGGTACACTACTAACAAAATCAAGGGAGCAATGTCGGCACTGGGATATGCCACACCCCACAAATGGAGTCACCGCTGAGCACCTAGAAACCGTAGACCACCTCGAATCACCAAACGCTCTCGCCATTTGCCGCCATCGAGAACCAAAGACAGAACCTTGTTCCTGAATTGATAATGCTCCGGACAGAGATGGTGAAACACAAAGCTAAAACTCTAAACAAACAAGACGTCTTTGTTATTAAGGGACAAGGCCGATGAAACCCGGAAG